GCACAAGGAATTGTGCGGTCCATAGATCTATAGGATAGGGCACTGTGTGTAGTATGAAAGTGCGGACCGCACTTGAAATTATGCAGTCTGCAAAAACTCAACCGCGACCGCAGAAAAGTGTGTGCGGCCGTAGATCAAGCACTTCTCTATCTTCAGAGAGTTGTTATTTTTGAGGTTCCAATGTGCGGACGCACCCAAAATTGTGCGAACTGCATTTCAGATGTGCGGTTGCACTCAAAAAATTTGTGGACTGCAGAATCATCACTGCAACCGCACTTTTAGGTTGTGTGGTTCTCACAACCCCATCTGCGGCCGCACTAAAAAATGTGCGGACCGCACTTCCCCACCCTGCATAATGTTTTTGTCAGCAACTTTTTGCTTGTCTACACTTAAACTACAACTGACTTATGTTGCTGTTTATTGCAGAAAAATGCTTAGATCTCGGTTATATGGTGATACATCAAAGGGAAGGGGTGAACCCTCCCAAGGCTGAGGCAAGATTACCCTACCACTCGCTGTGCAAAGAGTTATAGCCAAAAAATGCAACAGTCAGGAGAGCTCCAAAGCCTACTGAGTCAAGTTCATATGTCCTGTACAGGGAAGCATCAGAGGGAGACTCTGTGCAAGAGAATCCTGATGCTCAATCACAACCACAGCAGCTTCGGGAGAGATTTCAGTTTTGAGATGAGCCTTCCACCTCAGCAAGCACTTCCAAGGGCTCGAAAGATGACAGTCAAGGTTCTGAGCATTTATCTACACATGCCCCCGACACACCAGCTACTACAGTTGATGGGGATGATATTCCAGATGGTGGCCTCAGAGATCGCTCACTCTTTAGTGTCGTTTGTATTGAAAGATTTGGATAGGTACAACCCGGTGATGTCGAGGCAACTCCGGGAGAGAAAAAGGTGGACATGGTTCACTAAAAGAGTGGTGGAGGCCAAAAAGCACCAGGTCCGGGAATTTTACGCCAATGTAGCACATATCAAGAAGAAGACCAAGGAGACAGAAGTGAGAGACTTAAGGCGAGATTCGATCAGAGCACCCTGAACACATATTTAGGGTTTGAGAATGTAGAACCGGTGTAATATTTGGAGAAGTTTGTACTGGGTGATGCAGCTCTCCCTTAGCTAGCTGAGATTTTGGCAGCTCTGGGACCACCACCAACATAGATCACAGTAGGGGTTACTATTTAGTGGAACTCCCTTAACTTTGAAGCAAATGGATGGCAGACCTTTGTGTGCAGTCGACTAAATCCATGACAAAATGAAAACAATCTGCGAATCTTGATGGCAGTTCTAGTTGTTTCTATAATACACAGGTACCCAATCAATATGGGTGTCGTGATGCCGGCTAACTTGTCTCTGGTTGGTAGGCAGGGTGGCATCTCCTACCCATATCCCAACACTATCACGAAGTATCTTACGGATGCAGGGGTGAAATCAAAGAGTTTTGAAACGATGGTTCGGGTGAAAAGCCCTTTACTTTGTATTATCTAAAGGACCCTAGGAACCCGAAGAATAAGGGTTAGCCGACAACTACTATAGGTCAGTTTGATGAGCCTTCGGTGGTAGTTGCTGATTCAGTAGACATGCCTTCCACTACAGCCGGGCTTTCCACCAATACAGCCGCCATGCCAACACCTTCATCTTTAGGGCCATCAGCATCGGTTGACTCCACTTCTACTTTGAGGCCGGTGCTTATGCCTCCTCATCCACTTTCTGCGCTGCGAGTCTCCCACACACTGACGAGCCTCAATAACTGGATCCAGACAGCTACTGCAAATCTGGTTGACCTATCTAGTGTTGTTGCAGCATAGACATCTACCCCAGCTCCCCAGATTCTTCCAACAATGGAGTACACTTTGATGAAAATTTTGGAGAACCAAAAGACCATCATGGACACTTTGGTGGAACATAGAGGAGTGATTGAGGAGCTTGGGAAGAAAGTAAAGAAGATGAGGAAATCCCCGGCTTTCCAAAAAATTAGTGGACATATTGAGGCGAGAGGTCACCAAGATAGCAGTCGCTGGAGACCTTCCATTTGGTTTGTTGATGGAGACAGCTCCAGCAATACCAGTAGACCCAGCAGCACTAGTGGCGCCAGCTAGCCAGTCTTAGGGGAGAGACGAGGAGTTTGAAAAAGGTACCAAGGAACAGAAAGAGAAAATAAATGAAGAAAGTAAAGGCAAAGAAAAAGAAATAAAGAAAGAACAAAAAGAAAAATGTAAAAAGAAAGTGAATAAGTAAAAGAGTTGAAGATATTCAGAGAAAAGTAACGATGCAGAGCATGGAGAACACAAAGAAGGAGAAAATGAATATCATGACCAAGAAAGAGTGATGTCAATCTCTCTAGTTCCCCTAAGGAAAAAGAAAATGTTTCAAAGAGTCGGTAAAACATGAGCCAAAAAGAGAAGATGGATTGCTTAAAGAAAGATGAACCCGTTCTATTCCAACATATCAAACCTTAGTCCAAAAGCCTTCATTACTTTCCGAAAAATCCCTACATGAATTCAAGCCGAGTGAACTTACATTAGTGGTGATCTATATGAGGGGAAAGCATATGGTACTTAGAGTCGTACTTGTAACATTCTTTTGAGAGAGAAGAGCGAACATTTCACAAATCTTTGAATTGAGTGATACATTCTTAAGTGAGATATGCTAACGGAGAGTAGAAGAGGAGGAGTATGGGATCCAAAATGACCTACATAAAACAACAAGCTTCCTTGATGAATAAAGTCAACTTTTGATACTCAAGTGTCACATTAGAACTATCTGTGCTTAAGAATTCAAATCATTGTCTTGTTGATAATTCATAAGTGTTGTGGGTAATTGTTGGTCCCAATTGATGTGTTATTGATGCACCTTAGATTAGCAGGAATAACTCTTAACTTGTGGAGGTGGGAATTACCTTATTTTCTTGAGGAGAAGCAGTTTACGTTTGGGGGAGTTGATAAGTTGGGATTTTGACTACTTATTAGCATCTTTTAGCCTTCGTTTTAGTCCAAAAACGTTAAATTATACTCCTGAAAACTGATGAAATATGCTTAATTGCAGGAGTATTGGAAAATAATCCACTATGATTAAATCCAACTCAAGAAGGAGTGTATCACGCCCCTAACCTCGGGAGGTGTGGCTGGCACTCGGTGCCGCACTGGCCCGAGCAAACCACTCTGCAACTCTTTTTTTTCTTCTAACTAGCATGGGCCAACATGGACACAACTCATAATGTATAACTATAGGTGGGCAACATTGTATCACTGAACTATTTTTCTTAAGTCATGAATACATATGGGCCGTTAAGGCCTCTAACATATTGTACAAAATGAACCTCTGTCTACAAAGCCTCTAAGATTCTTTGACATCAAATGGGACAGGGTATCTGCCTAGCCATAAGTTTGTAGTAAAATTCTAACATGATGACTCATAGACTTGGCTGCACACTGAATGAGGTGGAGTATTACTGATACTTCGATGAATGCTGACCTCATCTACTGTGAGGGCTCGTCAAACTGATTATCTATACCTGCATGCATAAATGTAGCGTCCCCAACAAAAGGGCGTTGGTATGAATAATGTAATGAGTATGTAAGGCATGTAAATGAATATATAAAGAGCATGAAAGAAACATGGAGTACATAACTCAGCATGTATGTCTGGATAACTTTGTATATCATTTAATACTTATAGTGTCATGCATATGCGTATGAATGTCATGCCGTGCATAGGTACATGTATTCATAATATTATCAAGTCTCTGAGGGCATCCCATCATATCATCTCAGACACTGTGGGGAAAACCATCGTCATATACCAGATGATCAGGTGGTGGTGTGTATATAACGCCATAATCTTTCCCATATCCCATATACATATATATACTTATATATACATGTATACAATGCCATAACATCATCACGCCTTTGAGGGCGTCCCATCATATCATCTCGGCCACTGTGGGCAAATCATCAACGTATACCAGCTGATCAGGTGGTGATGCGTATATAATGCCGTAACCTTTTCCCATATTCTATATACAAATATACGTGTATATAACGCCATAATCTTTCCCATATCCCATATACATATATATACTTATATATACATGTATACAATGCCATAACATCATCACGCCTTTGAGGGCGTCCCATCATATCATCTCGGCCACTGTGGGCAAATCATCAACGTATACCAGCTGATCAGGTGGTGATGCGTATATAATGCCGTAACCTTTTCCCATATTCTATATACAAATATACGTGTATATAACGCCATCTAGTCATGGGTCAATGCGCATGTATAAATAGGTGAAATGCATGAAAAATACATAAAAATCTCAATATTCCATCCGGATTAACATTTTCAACTGCGTATTATTTTGAGACCCATGAACAGAAGATAAAAATATTTCACACGGGAATCAAGAATATAGGCACCCCTAGTAATGAATAGAGTAATATATGGAAACTGTGCATTTACTCGTTTCTTATGTATAATTTGGACCATGCCAAAAGAAAGAAGGGATGACCTTAACATACCCAAGCCGGTTCTCTGGACAATTCCTCTAACACACGATAATTGCGACAAAAAATGAAACGGCAAGATCGAAGTAGGGGAAAATCCATATGATATTCTTTAGAAAGATTGCACCGTTTTACAGAAGAATAAAAATCACCCGACAAGATTATGAGGCGCACATTATTGTACTAACACAAATATAAATACAGTGTTCATGTCCCATCAAAGGTCCTAAACAAATTAATATACTTTTGATATGATATGATTCCATGTTTTCTTGATTTTGAGCTAAAGCAGAATACCTAGATATTAGACTATAGTTGATAGTATCAGAGTAAAATAGATTATGATTCAGATTATGGTTGTTGTCATCGTTGTATGCTGCTCTAGTTTGCAGCCATGGCGGTGTCCTTTTCCTTTGCCCGATTTTGTCACAAATCTAAGCCTACTTATGTACTCAACCAAGAATAATTGGTCAGAGAGAAAAGTAAGTATAGCCTCTCAATTATAAATGTGGCACGCAACATACCCATAAGTGAGACTCTACCAGGCACGGATTTGTAAGCTTTCCTAGGACACGACCCGTTCTGATACCACTTTGTCACGCCCAAACTTGGGGAGGAGTGGCTGGCACTCGGTGCCGCACTGGCCCTAGTGAACCACTCTACAACTCTTTTTTTCTCTTCTAACTATCATGGGCCAACATGGCCACAACTCATAATGTATAACTATAGATGGGCAACATTGTATCACTGAACCATTTTTCTTAAGTCATGAATACATATAGGCTGTCAAGGCCTCTGACAAACTGTACAAAATGAACCTCCATCTACAAAGCCTCTAAGATTAATTGACATCAAATGGGACAGGGTATCGGCCTACCCACAAGTCTGTAGTAAAATTTTAACATGATGACTCATAGACTTGGCTGCACTCCGAATGAGGTGGAGTCGTACCGATCCTTCACTGAATGCTAACTCTGTCTTCTATAAGGGCTCGTCAAACTGATTATCTATACCTGCAGGCATAAATGCGGCGTCCCCAAAAAATGGACGTCTGTACGAATAATGTACTGAGTATGTAAGGCATGTAAATAAATATATAAAGAGCATGAAGGAAATATGGAGTACATAACTCAACCTTTATGTCTGGATAACTCTGTATATCATTTAATACTTATAGTGTCATGCATTTGCGTATCAATGTCATGTCGTGCATAGGTACATGTATTCATAACATCATCAAGCCTCTTAGGGCATCCCATCATATCATTTTATCCACTGTGGGTAAAATCATCATCGTATACCAGCTGATTAGGTGATGGTGCGTATATAACGCCATAACTTTTCCCATATATATATATATATATATATATATATATATATATATATATATATATATGTATATAACGCCATAACATTATCATGCCTCTGAGTGCGTCCTATCATATCATCTCGGCCACTATGGGCAAATCATCAACGTATACCAGCTAATCAGGTGGCGATGCGTATATAATGCTGTAACCTTTTCTCATATCCCATATACATATATACGCGTATATAACGTCATCTGATCATAGGTGAATGCACATGTATAAATGGGTGAAATGCAAGAAAAATACGTAAAAATCTCAATATTCGTTCCGGATAAACGTTTTCAACTACGTATTATTCTGAGACCCATGAACAGAAGATAATAATAATTCACACAGGAATCAAGAAAAAAACACATCTAGTAATGAATAGAGTAATATATGGAAACTGTGCGTTTGCTCGTTTCTTCTGTATAATTTGGACAAGGGCCAAAAGAAAGAAAGTATGACCTTAACATACCCGAGCCGATTTTCTGGACAATTCCTCGAACACCTCACAATTGCGACAAAAAATGTGACGGAAAAATCGAAGTAGGGGGAAAATCAATATGATATTCTTGAGAAAGATTGCACTGTTTTACAGCAGAACAAAAACCACCCGACAAGATTATGAGGCACACATCATTGTACTAACATAAATATAAATACAGTGTTCATGTCCCATCAAAGGTCCTAAACAAATTACTATACTTTTGATATGATATGATTCCATGTTTTCTTGATTTTGAGCTAAAGCAGAATACCTAAATATTAGACTAAACTCTTTGAAATATGAAATTCAAAAAAAGAAAAGAAATACATGAAGAATAAATAGACCCATATGTCAAAATATAAAACGTAAAGCAAAAAAAGCTTACTAGAACGGTTGAAAGTGTCAGAGTAAAGTAGATTGTGAATGAGATTGTTGTTGTTGCTATCGTTGTATGCTACTCTGGTTTGCAGCCATGGCGGTGTCCTTTTCGTTTGCACGATTTTGTCACAAATCTGAGCCTACTTATGTACTCAACCAGTTATTGAGAGAAAAGCAAGTAAAATACTAAGAAATAAGAATGAGGCAGCATAGTGATGCCAGTTTGTTTCAATGGTTGCCTCCCATTTCTATGCCAATGTTTTCTTTGGGTTCTGCTTCTCTCAAAGCTAGAACCTTTATTTATTGATGTTGTAATGCTTATTTATGCTCGGCTGTGTTCTTATACTTTCTGCCACTATTTTCTTAGTCTTTATCTTATCCCCTTTCAATAAAATGGAAGGATGGAACAAGACAATGCGTAAATGTGGGGCAATTAAACACTCCTTCTAACTCCAATGCTTAGCAAGCCATCCCAAATATAACAACAAATGGTCTTTAAATGTATGGCTTCCACCTAGCCATGTATTGGCGGTGGAAGTCCTACATTTATGACACATAATGCCTACGAAAATAAAAGATATATATCACATGCTTATCCCCATATTTTAGTACTTAATGTATATAAAATTTATCCATATAACTAAGAATTATCTCAAATTACTTAAAATACCACCCATTTTTTACACACTTTATATATTTTACTATAAAATACTTTACTATCATGGTCATGTGATACCATATAAAATTAATACATACACTTATTATTTCATTAAAATATCCATGTAAAATTACATATATTTTCTCACCTTCTAATTTTTCTAAACTAATATAAAGAATACAAATTTTCGTACGCTTAATTATTAAAATGGTAAAAAAAAATAACCTTCTTCTGTGAGAAAATAACTTCTATTTTTACAATAAAGAAAATCTCATTAACCTTTCTCATATTATATATGTGTATAATTTAAAGTATATTCGAAAGTGGTAATATTAATAATTATATAAAATCATATTTTTCAAACTTTTATTTTACAAAAATGTTCCACTCAAAATACCACATCAAACGTATATAACGGTGTCAAGGTTGTTAAACCCACGGGGTGTAACGTCTTTCCCCACTTTAGAACATTCGTCCTCAAATGTTAACTCTTAGAGATTTTGAAAATTTTCACTAGGGTCTCCTCTGTAACTAAACTAAAATGAAAACTATATCCGAAGTCTCGACTATTAACAACCTTTTGTACTGGAGTATCTCATATCTTGCTCACATTTACCTTAGTTACCCTTCAATCTCATATCGTATCTTCTGTTTCTTTCATAACCTCCCTTAAACATAGGTTGAAATTACGCCCTAAAGCTCTACTGTAATACCTGCACCTCTGGTGCATACAAAATCTGGCAAAAGCTTAATACCGACTTTTTACGACTCAACTCTATGGCACGATCTGGAAACAAAAGAAGGTTAATATTTCCTAAATGCCATATAGTCTCTAAATTATAAATGTGACGCGCAACACACCCATAAGTGAGACTCTACTAGGCACGGCTTTGTAAACATCCCTAGGACGTGACCCGTTCTGATACCACTTTGTCACGCCTCAAACTTGGGGAGGCATGGCTATCACTCGGTGCCGCACTAGCCCGAGCGAACCATGCTACAGCTCTTTGTTTTTTCTTCTAACTATCATGGGCCAACATGGCCACAACTCATAATGTATAACTATCGATGGGCAACATTGTATCACTGAACCATTTTTCATAAGTCATGAATACATATGGGTCGTCAAGACCTCTGACATACTGTACAAAATGAACTTCTATCTACAAAGCCTCTAAGATTATTTAACATCGAGTAGGATAGGGTATCGGCCTACCTATAAGTTTGTAGTAAAATTCTGACACGATGACTCATAGACTTGGCTACACTCTGAATGAGGTGGAGTCTTACCGATCCTTCGCTGAATGCTGACCTCGTCTACTGTAAGGGCTCGTTAAGCTGATTATCTATACCTGCAGGCATGAATGCAGCGTCCACAATAAAAAAACGTCAGTACGAATAATGCACTTAGTATGTAAGGCATGTAAATAAATATATAAATAGTATTAAAGAAATATGGAGTACATAACTCAACCTGTATGCCTGGATAACTCTGTATATCATTTAATACTTATAGTGACATGCATATGCGTATAAATGTCATGTCGTGCATAGGTACATGTATTCATATCATCATCAAGCCTCTGGGGGCATCCCATTATATCATCTCAGCCACTATGGGCAAAATTATCGTCGTATATCAGCTGATCAGGTGGTGGTGCCTATATAATGCCATAAATTTTCCTATATCCCATATACATATATATACCTATATATACGCGTATATAACGCCATAACATCATCACACCTCTGAGGGCATCCCATCATATCATCTCGGCCACTGTGGAAAAATCGTCAACGTATACCAGCTGACCAGGTGGTCATGCATATATAATGTCGTAACCTTTTTCCATATTCCATATACATATATGCGCGTATATAATGCCATCTGGTCATAGGTCAATGCATATGTATGAATGGGTGAAATGCATAAAAAATACATAAAAATCTCAATATTCCTTCCGAATAAATATTTTCAACTGCGTATTATTTTGAGACCCATGAACAGAAGATAATAATACTTCACACGGGAATCAAGAATATAGACACCCCTAGTAATGAATAGAGTAATAAATGGAAATTGTGCATTTGCTCGTTTCTTCTGTATAATTTGGACCATGCCAAAAGAAAGAAGGGATGGTCTTAACATATCCGAGCCAGTTCTCTGGACAATTCCTCTAACACACGATAATTACGACACAAAACGTGACGGCAAAATTGGAGTAGGGAAAAAATCCATATGATATTCTTTAGAAAGATTGAACTGTTTTACATCTAAACAAAAACCACCCGACAAGATTATGAAGCACACATCATTGTACTAACACAAACATTATTATAGTGTTCATGTCCCATCAAAGGCCCTAAACAAATTACTATACTTTTGATATGATATGATTCCATGTTTTCTTGATTTTGAGCTAAATCAGAATACCTAGATATTAGACTAAACCCTTTGAAATATGAAATCCAAAAAAAGAAAAGAAATACATGAAGAATAAATAGACCCATATGTAAAAATATAAAACGTAAAGCAAGAAAACTTACTAGAACAGTTGAAAGTAACAGAGTAAAATAGATTGTGATTGAGATTGTTATTGTTGTTGTCGTTGTATGCTACTCTTGTTTGCAGCCATGGCTATGTCCTTTTCCTTTGCCCGATTTTGTCACAAATCTGAGCCATGTACTCAACCAAGAATAATTGGTCAGAGAGAAAAGTAAGTAAAACACTAAGAAATAAGAATGAGGCAGCATTGTGAAGCCAGTTTGTTTTGATGGTTGCCTCCCATTTCTATGCCAATGATTTCTTAGAGATCTGCTTCTGTCAAAGCTAGAACCTTTATTTATTGATGTTGTCATGCTTATTGATGCTCGGCTGTGTTCTTGTACTTTCTGCCACTGTTTTCTTAGTCATTATCTTATTCCCTTTCAAAAAAAAGAAAGGATGGAACAAGGTAGTGCATAAATGTGGGGCAATTAAACACCCCTTCTAACTCCAATGCTTAGCAAGCCTTCCCAAATATAAGAACAAATGATCTTTAAATGTTTGGCTTCCACCTAGCCATGCATTAGCGGTGGAAGTCCTACATTTATGACACAAAATGCCTACTAAAACAAAAGATATATATCACATGCTTATCCCCATATTTTAGTACTTAATGTATATAAAATTTATTTATATAACTAAGAATTATCTCAAATTACTTAAATACCACTCACTTTTAACACACTTTATATATTTTACTATAAAATACTCTACTATCATGGTCATGTAGTACCATATAAAATTAATGCATGCATTTATTATTTCATTAAAATATCCATGTGAAATTACATATATTTTCTCAACTTCTAATTTTTCTAATCTCATATAAAGAATACAAATTTTCGTACGCTTAATTATTAAAATGGTAAAAAAAACTAACCTTCTTTTGTGTTAAAATAACTTCTATTTTTACAATAAAAAAATATCATTAACCTTTCTCATATTATATATGTGTATAATTTAAAGCATATTCGAAAGTGGTAATACTAATATTTATATAAAATCATATTTTCAAACTTTTTTTTTACAAACATGTTTCACTCAAAATACCACATCAAACGTATATAACGGTGTCAAGGTTGTTGAACTCACGGGGTGTAACAGATTGATCTGAACTAAAGGACAAAATCAGGCACAAAAGCTCAAGTACGAACCGCAGATTTCCATCTGCGGCCGTAGATTGTGAATGAATTTTTATCAGAGACCAAGTGCAAGGTGCAGTCAACACATGAAATGTGCGGCCGCATAAGCTAACTTAGAGTAGAATTTCAGAGAGTTCTCATTTCAAGATTATACGAAGTGCGGACCACACAATTATTGTGCAGCCGCAGAAGTCTACTACGCAGTCGCACTCAGAAATGTGCGGTATGCAGAAGACCCTTGTGCGGCCGCACCCAAAAATGTGTGGACCGCAGAATATGCGGCCGCATTTCAAAATTGTGCAGCCGCAAATTCAAATCATGTCAAGGCTGAAGCAAAGTGTGGACCGAACATGGAATTGTGCGGCCGCAGAACCTCTGAAAGGGCATTTTTGTCCGAAAATTCCAGCTTTGTATAAATAGAATAGTTTCACAAAATTAGGTCAAGTTTGGAATATTAAAAGTGTTGTAGACGTTTCTTCTTGCTTCCATAGGAAACTTTAGCTTATTTTGGTGATTTAACAGTGGGTCTTTTTATTTTAATCTTTCAATATGAGTTTTATTATGTTTTCTTCTATACCTACTATGAGTAGCTTGATTTTTACTAGGGTTGTGACCCAACCCTAGTGTTTAAACCTTATAGGTAATTAATTTTATGCTTGTTTATGAATGTGTGTTTGTTATTTACCTAGTTTTATGCTTCATTTGTGAAATTAATGGTTGCAAACGTTGATTTATACCTATTTGACTTAGTCTCTTCTTGATAAAGAGAGACTAGTCTAGGTTAACTTAACTAACAAGGAATTGGGTCAATTGAGTAATTGATGGGTTTTCAATGTCTTTGCGTTATGTTTCTTATAATTTGATGATCTAACAAACTTACTGTTAGGAACCAGATGGGGAACTTGACTCACTTGGTACACATTTCAAATGAACGAAGTTCAGCCTGAACTCCAACTAATGAACTGCTACAAAGAGGAACAAGGCAGGGACTTGATCCCTTGGTGTTCTCTGACAGAAGTACAAGTCAACTATACAGCTGGAAAGCAACTACAGAAAGTGACTACCTGCAGCTGTACATACGACAGTGCAGCAGTCATTAACCATTGGGAAGAGGCGTGTACCAACCAAGAATTGACATCATCCTTGTGATATCTTTGGTAGTATAACAACATGGTGAAAGGCACAAGATATTCACTTGAGAATTTAGTGATATTCTCTCAAACATTAAAGTGTTGATCCAGCATTGAAGTCACTAGTGTGTCAAGAACAAGAAGACAACTCCACTAAAGGATCAGTTTCACAATGAGTCTATGTGTATCCGTAGTTGAGTTGTAATCATGTTATTTGTTCTTCATTGTAACTCCTATCTTGATTTCTTAGAAGTTGTGTTTTAGGAAACCCAAAATCACAAACC